AACTCTGTTTGTATTAACTATGCCTTCCCCCAAATTCACTTCATCAATAGGCATGAATAAAAGTCCCTTCTTTTCAGAGAAGCCTCCGGAGCGTTTTCTAAGAAAAGCAAAGCTACAACCTACTGGGAATGAATAAACAAGAAACTCAGAGCGTAGCGGTGTGGCTGCCAAGTCAGGTCTCTGGCACTGTCCTGACGCTGCTTCGTTACCGGGAAAGAGGGTGCAGACAGCACAGGCCCGGCCTGTACTTCTAGGGAACTGAGAAACAGATGCTCTGTGCCGCAGCAGGCGCCTCGGCTGGGCCCGCGGAGCCGTGGCGGCACGGAGGCCCCCGTGCTGCTTGGATCGCTGACTTGTCTCCTGAGCAAACGGCAACATGACGCTCAGGGCTCTGACCACAGCCTCCCACAGGCAGCTCCAGGGAGTCCTGCCCCAGAGAGCCCAGGCAAAAGCAGACAGGGAGCAGGGTGGGGAACGAGAGTACTGGGAGGGAAGGGGAGGGTGTGGCCACAGGACAGTGAGACTGGCCAGAGCGAGAGAAAGGAGGTTCCATGAAAATCAGACAAGAAACAGAAAAATCACCATATAAGCAGAGACATGGGCCCTCCCTGGTGGCTCAGTGGGTTAAAGTGCAGCACTGAAGGCTGGCCCCTGCTGCTTCAGTGTCTGTTCGATTCCCCCCCCCCAGAGGTGACCCACTGAGCAAAGGTGACCCACAGGGCGCGGCAGACCTCTCCTGACCTGCCCGCTGCTCCCCTCAGTGGTGGACTTCGTCAGTCAGCCTGTTCTGCTCCCCACCTGTCCCTGGTGAATCTTCTCACCCCAATGCCTCTGACCTGTGCCCCAGGTCTTGTATGTATAAATAAGTCTTTAAAAAAAGAAGAAGAAGAAGCCTGAGCAGTCTCACATTCCTCATTTTCCTGACTTAATAAACTCATATAACCAGGTGTTACTACTATGTGTTCACATACTCAGGGACTAGAGAAAGTCTCGCTGTACAAGATCATACATGAAAAGCATTTGCTGTAACCAGTGTAACAAGGATCTAATTGTGCTGGCTGTCAACAAGAATATGGAAATGACTCCTAGGAAGGACGTTCTGTGTAACAGTAATGGTTTATATGTCTAATTCTCAGTATAGGCCCCACAAAGAGTCGATGAGAAGAGTAAGTTGGTTCTGAAGGCAGAAATGAGCACTCGTCAACCCTCTCGGCTCAGCCCTTAGCCCCTCAGCCCAGGACAACAGCTGGCTGTGATTTTAAGCAGCCTCTGACCACAGAAGACACTGGTCAAGTCAGTCATGAACAAGCCACAATACTCTCAAGGGGCCTAGCACACAGTCAGGATATACAAGGGGTGATCCAAAAACAAGTTCTGAAAACTCACAGGAGTGGACATGGTGGGAAAACATAAAAAAAAAAAATATGTCTGAACAAAGAATATGTCTGAACAAAAGGCAGAGTTATGAGACAAAATGGGGAATGGCTTGGCAAGTGAGAAAGAGGAAGCAGGCAAATGGATCCCACACTATGAATCTGAGGGCAGCCCAGGATTGAAGTGAACACCCAGAAATGTATCTAAAAATAATCCCAAACCCTGAACAGAATGCTTTTTTAAAAAAGATGTATTTATTTATGCATACAGAACTGGGGTACAGGCCAGAGGTGCAGAGGCGGTGAGAGGCTTCACCAGAGACAGAGTGGGGAGCAGAACAGGCCGATCAGCAAAGTACACTGCTGAGGGGAGCAGCGGGCGGGTCAGGAGAGGTCTCGCGCCCTGTGGGTCACCTCTGGGGCTGGGGATCGAACTTATGCGGAAGCAGCTTTAGCTTCTCAGTGCTGTGTTTTAACCCACTGCGCCACCAAGGAGCCCAGATGCATTTTTAACCAACAGTAAAAAAATGATTAAAGGTCAACACCTCAAGGAGACATTTGGTAAGTATCAAAGAACTGTATTACTGGAAAAGCAGAGAGGAAGAGTAGGAAAGGAGGATCCAACAGTGAACAAGAGATAATCAAGGACTAAGCAATGAGTAAGGGAGGCATTGGACAATCAAAAATAATCAAAAACTTTGCCGATTTTTAAGGCATTTTCTTTTTAAGAAAATAGAGGGTTAAGAACTTATTAGCAATAAAAGTGCCCTTGATGTATTTTCACTTGAGATATCGCTTTGAATTTGGTTTGAACATAAGGCTCTTGTGAAGACTGCAGACTAAACGAGAGCTGTCAGCAAATTCAACCACGGTGATGTCTGAAGACAAAGCTGCCTGCCAGTTCTACCAAACTTGAACTTGCCTTTGAAAAGCTGATGTGATACCTGGCAATTTTCACTATTTTTCCAACACTTGCTCTGAATATAGATTAAAATCTTCCAGATGCTCAATTTCTCCATTAGTAAAACACACACAATTTAAAATGGGTTTTCAGGTTATTTGGGGAGGAACATCCATGCAAAAACAGGAAGTCATGCAGTCTCTTTACGGAACATAACCCAGAATCTGTTCACTGCTTTTCAAATAAAAGTGGATTCCTCCACCTCCAGTTATAATGTTAGTGATTCATCTAAGCATTTTTATTGGGTTCGTGGACTTTAAGTAGATAATTAAGTAAGTCTTTCTCCAAAGCGACCAGTCAACAAATAGGAATATTTAATGACACCCCATTTCACCACTCCCATTGATGTGGGAATCGGGCGAAGGAGAGTTCACACTAGAAATGTTCAAAGCCAGCGCAGTAGAGTCAACCACACTCCCCTGACTTAGACAAGTGAGAGTCTCAAAGAAGGCCACCTTTGCTGATCATGCACCATGCCATTTCCTGATTTTAATTTGCTTCTGTGTGAACCCTCCTCTAATTAGTAAATGAGAAATCTGGCCTCAAGAACACCATTTATATAACACACATTGCATTCCCAGCCCTTGGGATTTTGACGTCCACGCCCTGGTTAAAAATGATGGTGCTGGTTCCTTTGTACCAGGAAAACTTGCTCCCTGACCACTTTCAACAAGAGTCCTAACTTCTTATTTCTTCCTGCTTTAAAATTCCTCCTTCTCCGTGTGTGTGTGAATGAGAGAGAGCGAGACAGAGAGAGAGTGTTGGTTGACCTGTTAAATCTGAGTGGACTTTAAACATAGGCTTTCCACATTCTAAATATTTGAGATTAAGATGGTGCATGGAGAACATTTCCCATATGAGGCTTGAGGAGTCAAGCGTCAAAGTCAACCTTAATCCAGTGTAGCTTTGAGCTCCCTCAGTGATGGGAAGCTCACTCTCTTCTGGACAGTTTGAATTATGATCACGTCCTTCATTATGAGACACACACATGTCCCTTCCATTATTAGGGTTTGTTGTTATTCAAATATAACCGACACCCACGACACCCCACGCTATTTTAGCTTCGGGTATACAATATGATAATTCAACACTGGTGTATACTCAAGCGATCACCATGGTAAATCCACTGGCATCGTTTTTTAACATCATTAGTATTTTATACCATCTCTGCCCACACACTGGTGTGTTCTATAAACCCAACCAAATCCCTCGGTTACAAGATGGTCCAAAAGATAGCAAGGGCTGTCTTCTCCAGCCTAGACGCCTTGGCGTGGGTTTTGAGTTCCTCAACATTTTCATCACCCCACTCCGCTATGCTCTAACGATCAGCTGAGGTCCCATGACCTTCTGTGCCGTCACAGTTCCTCGCCTCCTGTCTTGTCTCTTTATTCTCTCCCTGTATAGCATGGACATGACTCCCAGGACTTGCTCTGTGGCCCCAGAAAAAGAAATGCATCTATAGACAGAGCTAACGTGACGGTTGCCACTGAGCAACACATACATATTTTCTGCTGTTTCCCACATGTTCAAGTTGGCCCAGAGTCCACAGCACAATAGACATGGAACCAGAGTATAAATCAGAGCCTCAAAGTTCATCTTCCAGAAAGTTCCATGTGCCATCATTGTTGTTAATCCAGGACATTAGTCCTCTGCTCCTCCTCTGACTTGCTCCTTCCCTAATCAAAACACCTCCCTCATATTTGGGCTTGGCTGTTACTATTCATGGGCATAGCTAGAAAAGCCACTCAGCACTCCTTCATACACTACTAAGTCCACACAGAGCCGACTTCTGTGGAGAAGTTCATCGTGTTCAACAGTCACACTCTTCAGTGCACTCCTGAGGAGGAGGCTGGAGCAGCCCTGGACACCAAGCCAACGGCTCTTCTGGCTGCCTATCTGCAGCTATTTTTATTCTAGATCCTTCTTACCCAGGAAGCTTGCACATCTCGGTAAGAAAGAGTTTTCTAAGGTCAAATTCCAAGTATCAAATAAAGAATGAGTCACATTAAAAAGCAGAGGAATCTGGTTTCTATTCCTGGCTTTGCTGTAAACGCAGAGTTTGACTTTCCCAGCTCTTAGGTTTCCTCATTCATAAAATGAGGAGACGAGTGAGAGGACCCCCACGGAGCCGCCCTCCTGCTCAGCTGTTCTTTGTCTCCTGCACTGTCCTGCTACACTGCTAAAATTAGGCAGACATGTCACTGAAATACCTTTCTTTTTTTCTTTCTTAAGTTTTTCAAGTTCAAAGATGAGCCAGAGTGTATGGGACAATTACCCCAGTAGTCTGTCCAGAAGGACAAATTATTTGTTAAATATGAAGCAGTTCATTGTCTGTGAGGACAAATAAACCCCCATTGTGCTGAACCCCCAAATGTCTCACTCGGGGAGGACCTTCTCTCCAGCCCTGTGTCCTCAGAACAGCGATTTCTGACACTTGCAGTAACTGCAGACGTTTCCGGTTGTCCCAACTGGGGGAGTTGTGGGATCTAGTGAGCAGAGGCCACTAAACACCCCCAACGCACAGCCAGCCCCCCACGACAGGCCCTAACCCGCGGCCGCTGAGCCCCGCGCCCCGGAGAGACCTCAGAAGGCGCCGACCCCGCGTCCGGCCTCTGGCCACACCGGTCACTGGGGACAAGCCCGGACGCGCTTGTCCGACCTCTTACCTGGCAAAGAAGGCCGCCGCCCCCGAGATGCCGGTGGAGGCCTCGCCGGCCGCGCAAGACACCTGCGAGCTGGCGGCCGGGGCGCTGCAGGCGCTGGGCTTGTCCGCGTTGTAGCGATTCAGCGCAGCTTCCGTCAGGCCCTCCCGGCCCGTGTCGGTCACCAGCTGGGAGATCTGACAAGAAAGACGGAGACGGAGCTCATGACCTGAGGCCACTGCGCGCGCTGACCGCCACTGCCAGCCTCCGACTGGGGGCGGGCGGCGGCTGAGGGAATGTGGCCCCCCGACACCTTCAGTCCCCCGCGCTGGCGTCAGGGGCCAGTGAAGCTCCTTCCCAGCATCGGAGCTCGGAGAGCCCCTCGTTCTCATTAAAATAATGGAGTGAGGCCCCCCCTGGTGGCGCAGCGGGTCACAGCGCAGCACTGAGAAGCTCAAGCCGCTTCCGCACGAGTTCGATCCCCGCCCTGAGGTGACCCACAGGGCGCGGCAGACCTCTCCTGACCCGCCCGTTGCTCCCCTCAGCAGTGTGCTTCGTCGATCTGCCTGTTCTGCTGCCCACTCTGTCTCTGGTGAAGCCTCTCGCCGCCCGGAGCCTCTGGCCTGTACCCCAGTTCTGTATGCACAAATAAATAAATCTTTAAAAAAAAAATAATGGAGTGCGATTGCCCCCTGACATTGCAAGTTTCCACGATGCCTGTGACTCCCCTCCATTTGGAGGGGAAGCTTGGGCCATCAGCCACACACTTTTTGCAGCCGAGCCCGGTTCAGGGACACCCAGGAATGGCCCCGAACGCCCCCAAAGAGTAGAATGGGGCAAAGGTGTTATTTTATGAAGGGGAAAGTCAATCTACCAATTAAGAACATAAGGAGTTAAATCAAGAAGTATTTGGTATTTGCGGAAGGCAAGAGCGGAGCTCGTGAGCATCCACCTAGCCACCACAGCCGACCAGGGGTGTCCTTTTTAGCCAGGGCTGTGTTTTGAGGTTTCTGACCTGGGTAAACAGACTTAACTCTCCTGCTGGTTCATTCAGATAAACGGCTTCTATTTCATTTGCAGAGATGGCAGTTATTTCAGAAGTTTTAGTGGAGGGGGCTGGGTTCATTTGGCTTAAATTCACATAATAGTTTCGGAAGAATCATATTTCCAGGCAAAATAAGAATCTTTGTATACTTTTGGAAAGTGCTAATCCCATGACAAATGGAATAATTATATAGCAAGGTCTAAGTGTGGAGAGCCTGTTACTTCAAAACTTCAGTCGCTTGCTAAAAGAAAAACTTTTCTTTTTTTTAAGGAAACTTTAGTACCAAAAAAATAAAATAAAATAAAATAAATTAGTTTGCATCCAGTTCAAACCTCTTGAATGCTGAGTGGAAAGTATGTCTAATTGCCTAGAAAATACAAGTGCAGTAAAGCCAAGATCAGCGACAGTTTCGACTTTGTAACCGAGCCGGACGGTAGGCTGATGAAAGAAGCCCATTTGTTAACCTTTAAAAATAAAAACACTCGTATTTGTCATTATTAGCAGAACGGCCATGACTCTAAGCCTCCATGACTTGTAACTCCGCTGTGGTTCAATTCCTGCTCTTATTTGGAAAGTCTTGGCATCGTTCAGCTGAAATTCTGCCAACACATATTTTCTTATTCTCATTCATTCAAGACATGGCAAGGAAATCTGAGTCACAGAAGAGAAACCAGGGCAAAGCAGCCATCCAGCCTGGAAGACTTCCCCGCCCTCAGCAGGAGCTTCTCGCCGCTCCTTGGGCTTCCTCTGCTGCCCTTGGGGTGTGGGGCCCCCTCACCCAGCTGCCAGATCTTGAGGAATGTGTAGGAGGGAGAGCCCAGTTAAGCCAGGGAGCAGCTGAAGGTGGGGAGATGGCCATGCACACTGTTTTCACCACAGAACTGCATTTATGAAGGCCTGGGGGGTAAATGATGCCATCCAGGACAGTGTCCAAGAGCAAAGCTGCCAGAGTCATTGCGCCATTTTCTTCATCACAAAGCTACAATCTAAGATGTGGAGCTGATTTTAACACAGAGAGAACTGTTTTTCAGGCCATGGACCATAGCGTAGTATAAACATAACTCTGACATGCACTGGGGATCCGAAAAATTCCCACGACTCACTGCACTGTGATCATCACTTTGTTGGGGTGTGGTGACATCTGTGACCTGTCACATCTCCTAAGTGTGCCTGGATGGCGCTTCTAATCTGAAGTGAGAGGAAAGGGAGTGGAATGCGTATGCTTCATCGTGTAGAAAGTTGTCCTGAAAATCCATAAAGAAGCCACTTGGACGTGTGTGGCAAATGGCAAGATGCCTAACAGAGGCACAGCTTTCTGGTATTTGCAGGTTCCCAGATCTAGCCAGGAGGAACGCCAGCACGCTGTGGGTTTGTGGCTTTCAAAAATGTCACTTGACAGATGAATTGAGTCAATGCACTGCCCAAAAGTGAGCTATTGGCTCTCCTATGCCAGACCAGACTGGATCTCTCTTTTTTAAAAAAAGATGTATTTATTTGTGCACACAGAACTGGGGTACAGGCCAAAAGTGCAGGGGTGAGAGGATTCACCAGAGATAGCGTGGGTTGCAGAACAGGCCAACTGACGAAGTCCACTGCTGAGGGGAGCAGCAGGTAAGACAGGAGAGGTCTGCCGTGCCCTGTGGGTCACCTCTGAGGCCAGGGACCGAACTCGTGCTGAAGCAGCCACTGTTTGTATGCAGTGCTGCAGTTAACCCTCTGCACCACCGGGGAGGGCCCAAATCTTTGGTTTTGAAAAATAATAGAAGCAACTACAGCTGCTTTAATAATTAACAATGACAGTCACATTCATCCCAGACCATTCTGAGAAAGCACCACCTTGTCTGATGAGCTTCATTTTGGATGACGCTCTTCCTACCAGGTATTCTTCATGCTCATTAGCAAGCATTCACTCCTCCTCAGTACTGCAGACTCCCATGCAACAATTCCACAGATATGACAGAACTGTCCCAGTAGTGAAAGGAAGTGGCCACTGGATGAAAGCTGGCTACAGAACTGCTCCAGTCGGCATTCTTACTGTGGCTCTCGGAAGCTGTGATACCTTGTCCCTGAATTAGTGACATATTAAGCAGACAGCTCTGAAGATTCCTATCTGTGTTCATGACATCATCATTCAGGAATCAGCAATGCCCTGTGTCTTTCTGTCTGCACTTTTGCTGCTGATAAACCTCTTCTTCCACCAGCCTCATCTGAAACAACCCATATGAAGTAAGGTAGACAGGCTGGGTGTTCTTCCCATTTCACAGACAAGAAGACAGAAGAGTTGGGTGTTTTGTCCAAGACCTTTCAGACATAAGCAGGAAAGTTCAGAAAACAGAGGCCTTTGGCACAGTAGTTTCCACTCAAGATTGTATGTTCTCACCTCAGCTACTGAAGTTTATTGAATAACCTGAGTACCAGATAGACTTGGGGGGATTTGGTAGTGACCTCAGAGATTTTAAAGAAAACTCCATAGAAAAGCTTGGAGTCAGCCAAAGTAAATTGTTTTCTCTCCCTCTCTTAAATAAAGGGGAGTGCGTGCGTGTAGAAATACTACCTGTGAGGAACTTCCACAATGAGTTTTTAGCCAAGCCTTTAGACGGATGAGGCCCTCAGGGGAGTGACTGGAAGGAAGTGTCCCCATTCGCCAGCTGGATTTCCGTGGGGTGAGCAGCACAGTGCCTGCCTACCTACGCCACCCCCACTTTTTCCAGTGACCCCCCACCCCGCCCCGCAGCATTCCACCCACTCAGTAGACTAACTCTTCTCTTGGGTTCTGAACTGTACCTCAGGGTGGAGGACTCCCCTACAAGTGGGTGGGCTCCCCTGCCCTGCCATGCTTCAGAAGTGAGTACCTGAGAAGGGCCTACTTTGGCACTCGCTATGACGGCTCTGCTCCGTGGTAGCCAAGGTGTTCGTGACTTGAAAGGGTGAGGAAGAGAACCCTGGACCTTTCTCCAGTCTCCTCAGAAACCCTGACCTCTGGTCACAGGCCAGATGGGCTGCAGCGAATCCCCACAGCACCCTCACTGAGTTCCTAAAATGTCTCCTGCAGACACTGAACTATTTTCCCCACGACAAAACTGGTGGTCAGGAAGACTGGGCTATTTACCCAAGAGAAAACGTGGGCAAACGAGGGTGTCAGCCCAGAGTCCTTCGACTCTGACAGAATTTTCATTGAATCCTGCCCCCTGTCACGCTCCCCTTTGAGACCACTTCCTAGTTCAAGGCTGTTCCCACAGCCCCGTCCCCCAAAACTCCTTTATAAGAGGAAACACCCACGAGACCGGGAGTCTCTGGGAACCTGAGCTTCACTGCATAATTCCGAATCAAGAGCCTTATTTTTGGACTGTGGTTCACCTCTGCCTTTCTGACTGTTTCAACTTAACCTTTTCCCTCACAATTCTCCAAAAAGTATACAATTCTCCGAGGAGACTCAGATTCAAAAACCCCAGTGTCGCCATCTAACACACTTGAAAAACCTAAAGGGTTTACGGTCTTGATTATGGGTCTATGTCCTTGTCATGGCCTAAAAGCAGCAGCTGAAAACTGGCTGGGGGGTCCCGGTCACGGACTCCGGCGGGGACTGAATGATCAACGAGGGTTTCCTTTGGTTTAGTTTTGATGAAAACCTGAATTTTGAGCTCTCCATCTCAGTTACACGAGGCCATTTCGCAAACAGGATCTCTTACTTTCAAAACACCACATCACCTCCCCTGGGGAGTGGTAGATTAAGTAGAGGTGACAGTAAAAAGAACCCGGGCCCAGAGAGAGAGTGTGTACACATTTCACCACACACACGTGTACGTGGGGGGCGGGGGGGGCGGAGACTCCCAACTTTTGCCCTGTACGGACGCTTTTCACAGACCTCATGATACAGCTGCTCTCTCTCTTTTAACCTCCGGCAAGAAGCCGGCCTTTCAGCTATATTTAAATTTCTGCACCAACACCTCAGGAAAAGCTCTGTATTTGTCTGCAAAGAAACAGTGCACCTGGCCCTCCCTGGTGGCGCACTGGTTAAAGCCCAACACTGCACACTGGCCACAGCTGCATCAGTGCTCCGATTTCGATCCCCGCCTGCCCCGGAGGTGACCACAGGGCGCGGCAGACCTCTCCTGACCGCCCGCTGCTCCCCTCAGTAGTGGACTTCATCGA